ATTTCAATAGAGAGCAAAAACTTCAATGGCTTGCTAGATGTTATGCTATGTTGTTTGGGTTCCTGAAAAAAAAAAATTATATGAATTCAGTTGAATAATATCAGTAGAGAATGGAAATTTTAATGGGTGGTGGAGGAAAGAGAAGAAGATGATGATGTGGCCAGAATACATTTCGTGAAGGAAGGAGAAGAAGAAGATGATGTGGGCAGAATACATTTGGTGGAGGAAGGAGAGAAGAGAGATGACAGCAGGAAATTAAGGTCGGAGAATGAAAGAGAGATGTTAGAGAAGCCATGTAGGTTTCAGGGTTTTGGGTCTATGCGAATGGTAGAGAAATATTTTGATTTTGCAAAATGTGTGTGTTGTTCCAAAGAGTGTGTGGTTGTGGTAGTAAAGAAATGAAAGCGAGACATGAACCAATCAAAAGAAAAAAAAAGTTCATGTTTCTCTTCTTCTCTCTCTTTAGAAACTTCACAATGTTATTTTGATACCTTTTATTACAGGGTAGTTGTTGTTAATGGGAATGCAAATTTACAATTTATCTCAACTTTTTATTAAAAATAATGTTTATTGGAATTAACTAAAAATTATATACAATTTTTCAAATTTAAAGAGAGAGTATATTGGTAAGACTAGTTGCATGACATAAAATAATATAAATAAAATTATTAAATCAAATAATAAGGGTATTTCGTTTATAGTTAAACAATAATGGATTTTCCTAATGAATATAGTGGTGGGTGGGAAAGTGTTGTTACACCAAACTTGGGTGGAAAATGTCTTCTCCCTATAAATTAAAATTAATAGTTTGAAAGGAGACGAGATTACATAAGAGTAAAAGACTTTTTCACCAAAGAATGGTTTAATAACACTTTCCCACCTAAGGACTTTACATTTTATTATCCAAACATTATATACGTTAACATTTTGTTACATATAATAATATTAATTGTGAAGACAAAAATACCCCCACCAGTTAGTTTTTATGCCTTGAATGAAATCCAATATTTCCTGCATTTTTAAAACAAAATCACGTCTATATAGTGAACACCTTCTTCACGTTTTCTTAGAAAAATTAGGGTTTATGTACTTGATGGGGCACTCTAAATTTTAAATACTTTCAGGGGTGTATAAAGAATAACCAAAGTAGGTAAAATGGAGTTATCTTGGAGTTTGACTTAAAGACAAAGTTCAATGGACTACTCTCGCTGCATCTTGTTTAAGAATCTCTGCCCATTTTTAATGTGCCTCTGAACATGGACAAAATCCAGCACAAGTTCATCAATGTACAGGGATCAACCTTCACATTGCCGACACCGGAACAGGTTTCTCACCGTCTCCGATATCTTGTTTCAAATATTTCAATCAAACACCCTTCGTTTTAATCTGTAATATAATCTCCAGGTCCTAACGTGGTGGTGTTCTTGCACGGTTTCCCTGAGATATGGTACACGTGGCGCCATCAGATGGTGGCTGCGCAAATGCTGGCTTCAGGGCTATTGCTCCTGATTATAGAGGGACGGCTTATCAGACCCACCACTCAACTGAAAAGGCCACCTTTAAAGACATCATAAACGATTCCTTGCAATTTTAGACCACCTCGGAATTTCAAGGTATTTGTAGTTTCTTGTTTAAGTTTAACAGATATGTAATCTGAAAATTTCAGTGTCAAATTCTGTTTGAAAATATTTAAGTAAATTGATTGCTGGGATGTTCCTAAAAAACAAGTTTGACTTTCAATAGAATAAATAACAATCTTCTCAGAATCTATTGAAAACAGGACTATCATGAGTGTCTTTGTTGGGAATTTCTGTGACCAAGTTATTGTTTAAGATCAAGGGGATGTTACAATATGCTCTCCCAATAAGCGTAGGTTTTTCTTGTGCAAAAGATTTTGGAGCCGGCCGGCCTATCAGTTTGCCCTTCTCCATCAGAGAGGGTTCGAGGAGTTGTAACAATGGGAGTGCATTTATGCCTCCAGGTCCCTCTCGTATCCGCGATACTCTTCCTGAGGCTTCTTATAGCAAGATGGCAGGTATTCTTGTGGGTTCATTACTTTTCACATGTATAGCTATAGGAACAATTTGGTTGCCGATATTCACATTTTGATGCTTGATCAGGAACCTGGACGAGCAGAAGCTGATTTTGGCCGACCGATGCAAAGACGGTAGTAAGGACATCTCACATACTCTTCTCTAGAAGTGAAATACCAATAGCTGCGCAAAACCAAGAGATCTGGATTTGGTGGATGCTTCTACTCCTCTTCACCTGGTTACAGAGGAAGATCTTGCAGAATATGGAGCTTTGTATGAAAAATCTGGATTTCAAACGCATTGCAAGTTCCTTATAGGTAATAAGCTTAATCCTATTTAGGGACGACTTGTGCATTTATGTTCTATACCACTTCATGGTTTTGATTCTCTACCGTAGCCAGTCAGCATCCTGCTTCATATTACAGATTGTTACTGTCATTCTCCAGAGCATGATGCATTAATTGTTCATTCGGTTCACATTTGATGTCGAGTAGCGGTGCGTGTTAAGGAAAGTCAACTGAGTTGTAGGTTGATTACGATTTGACTTGACTTTTGTAATTTCATATTGTAGGAGTTTTCAGGAAGATAATGGTGTAGCAGAAAATATAGTTAAAGTTCCAGCTCTACTGATCATGGGTGACCAAGATTACGTCTTTAAATTTCCAGGGATGGAGGACTATATAAGAAGCGGAAAGTGAAACAATTTGTCCCAGATTTGGAGATCGTATATTTGCCTGAGGGGACCCATTTTGTTCATGAACAATTGCCTGAACAGGTGATCAGCTAATCCTCACCTTCCTCAACAAAGTATGAGTTACAAGGCTTCCTTGAAGAATGTAAGGTCCTTGAATAGATATGAATGTCGCTTGAATAATGTGTTGAGAAAGTTTATGTACTTGCCTTCTGTGTGGCTTGTAATATATCTTTTACACACCTGAACTACACTATTAATAAATTCAAGAAAGCCTCATATGATCATCAAGAAGTGCATTTAGAATTTGGCATTATCTAAATCCAACTGATGAATTGAAAGGCTGGCAGCCAGTGTTTCAAAATGAAAAATGTTTGTACATTTTAAAATTTAAAAAAAAAAAAAAAAAAAATGTCCTAGGTAATTAGCCTGTTAAAGGACAAGAGTTCTTGAAAAACAGGCTGAAAAATAAGGGAAAATGAACTATGCAACTCAAAAACACCTTAAATTCAGGTTCTCCATTTGGGATTCTTGAATTTTGTATGTAAAATATGTAACGGCCAACAATGTATCACTAAAGTATTCAAAAATTGTGGTTACTATGAACTCAACCGACTTGAACACCCAACAAAATCTCTGCAATGGTTACTCAGATATTTTCATGTTTTATAAGAGCAGAATATCAGCAAGAAATTAGTAATAAGAATGAAAAGCATTAGCAGTAACGAAATGGGCTGGTCATCTAGTTGACCTGATTGCAAAACGGGACCATTTCCACTTTCTTAATGAATTGGGAATAGTTTTAAAGCAAACCACATATTCCACATGAGGTTTGGCGAAATCCTAAGTTGGTACCCCTGGCCCAGTTGCATTATTTTTAAATTTTCACCTTTAAATAATAGAAAATTGTTAATGTAACGGTCAAAAGGTAAAGTGGTCATTTTGTAGAGGGGCGCGCACGTTAGGAGACCACCGGTTCTAACAATGGTCCGGCGCATTTTAGTAAGAGGCAGTGCATGTTAGCAGGCATTGCCTCTGACGTTTTTCACCCTTTCCAACAATCTTCCACCCAAAATCATCTTTGTCACCACCATTTGAACCCCCATCCCTACAAAAACCTTACCCTTCACCCCACCCCAACACTCACCGATGGCTAGCCACGGCAATCTCGTCATGGGACTTTTTCTGCCAGTTTTCGACCGTTTGAGTGGCAACAACCAACCACCACCACTATTTGACTCTTCGTCCCGTCCCCCCCCCCTGATGGTTTCATTGGGTGTGCCTTTCTTCGTTCCTAAACCTAATCAATACAGGGCCTCCCTGATGGTTTCTACATTTTCCTGGAAGGTACTCCACGTGTGATTTGGGATCTAATACTAAAAAATTGAGACATAACCAAAGACTGAATATTTAGAATTAATTTGTTCAGGAACCTGGAAGAGCTGAGGTGGACTTTGGTCGATTTGATGTGAAAACCGTGTGGCGAAGAATCTATATTCTCTTCTCAAGAAGTGATTCCTATAGCTGACCAGAATAAGGAGATTGGATATGGTGGATCCATCTTCCCTCCACCGCCATGGCTAACCATTGAAGTCTGCCAATTATGCCATGTATACCAAAAATCTGGATTTGATTCTCCAATGCGAGTTCCTTATTACAAGTAAGAATTAAGAATATTCACAACATCCAATAAATTTGCTTATGAAATGGTTTCATTCTCCATATTTATACAGGTTAAAGCATGAGGATTTCACCGTCAACAATCCAAAAGTCGAAGTTCCAGTGTTACTAATAAGGGTGGCAAAACAAAGACTATTTCATTAAATTTCCAGGGATTGAAGACTACATTACAAGTGGAGAAGTGAACAAGTATATGGATAATTTAGAGACAAGATTCGTCCCAGATGGAAACCATTTCATTCAAGAGCAGCTCCCAGATCAGGTCAACGAGTTCATCGTCACCTTCCTTAATGGCTTGTCTGATCAAGATCAAGCATCTACTAATGCTTAAAGCTTTTTAAGCTTGTAATAAATTGTGTTCTCGCATTGATGTTTGAAATAACATATAACTTTCTTACATCTTCAATGATTTTCACCAAGGAGGAATTAGGAAGAGAGATAGAGGCCATAATAGATCCTTATACAAACAACCAATTTCATTGCTACTTTCTATTTACATTTTCCTTGGTATGAAATAACCCTTCAGTAGACTCAAATCATTGGGAAAAAAATATAAGCAAACTTGCCCGAGGGAACTGCATTACAACTGCTGACAATATAGACAATGCACAGACAAAAACAAATTTCATTCTGCTATCACATTTTTGTATACATGCGTCCCAGCCTACATCAAGACGATGACAAAACAGCTACAAAGAATAGTGTAAAAGACAAAAAGTATAAAAAAGAAAAAAGGGGGAAAACCAAACAAAAGGGGTCGATCAGACTATAATAGCAGGCCGGTAGTCAGAATATTACGTTTGTGATGCTGGAGCAATCCCGTCGCCATGAGCACTATAGTCTGCAAAAGCAAACAGCTATCTAACAGAAGGGCCGAGGCTGTACAGAATATCCATTTCTCGAGTTCTCATGCCACTCTTAATGATTCGATTACTTCACTCACAGCAATATGAGTCTCCTCTGAGATCATGTTTAATGTTAGATGAAATGCCTGTAAAAAACCAAAAAAGGAATAAATTAGTTTCATCTGACAGACCAGGTAAATTGTTCCGAGAGAAACATCTGCACCATGTTAATTGTCAAATTGTTTATAGCCACCGACTTGGTAAATTGTTTTGAAACCATTCTACAAGTTACAGATTTTGGCCCCTCAACAGTTGTCTACACCGCTACAACTAGCATTCGATGTTGACTATTAAAAGAAAAGGGCACAAAGGAACTAAGAGAATGAAACTCTCAACTGGTAATACATATATTATTACCAGTGAGCAGGAGGACAATGAAAGGAGGTTAATAATACGATTTTATCAGTATTTTGTGGCTAATCCATGCTTGACCCACTTACAACAAGGAATAAGTACATACCACAAATCTTTCCAGCACAGGTACCAAAATTGCCAGATTGCGGTTTGGAAGACATTCAGCAATTGCACCACGTATATCCGCACTGTTAATAGCAAAGAAAACATTAATTCTGAGAAACTTCAGAAATACAATGTCATATGAACAGATAAGGGGGAAACCTTTCAGTTGAAAGAAACGCCAGTAGCAGTGCTGCATAAGCTTCCAGAATCATCTTCTCTGCTTCTTTCTCTCCTTGTAGAACCGCTTCCTCAGCGTCCTGTAATATAACATAGGTTTTAAATAATGATAGCTATGATCAAATTATCATGCCTGATTGTAAGAAAAAGAGAGTGCTTTAGAGTTTCATTTGAAGTAGACTTTTTGCTTCAAACACCAGAAAAAAGGCATGAGAGTAAATCACTCACCCAAGGCACAGCATCTCCGTCCCCAGCTTCATCACCTGCATTTCCATCCCCAGCTTCTTCACGTGCATTTCCTTCCCCAGCTTCATCACCTGCATTTCCTTCTCCAACTACATCACCTGCCCCATGGTTAGCAAGAAAGATTGAACACAGCAGCGGAATTACATCCCCATGACTCTCTGCTTCTAACCCTTTTGAATTAGGTAATGGAACTCTGGCTGCCGCAAGCCGCGACCTGCAGTAACCTTACTGTAAGTTTTAAATACTACAAAACATGATATTTATTTGTCATGTGCCAGCAATATGAATACTTGCTGCATCATAAGCTCAGACAGACCATTGTCTATTTGAACCAGAATTAGCCCCTAAAGAGCAGACCAGCAACTTCCAAGATAAAACATTGAGAAGATATCTAATTTATTAAGTACAGCGGTTACAAAAGTACGAGTATAACTAGCAGTAATGCTGATTGCCTGGATACATGGATGCTTATAGATATTGGAAATGGCGCTACTTCAGGATGAATTTTGCAATATCAGACCACAAAATAAACAGAATCCCGAGTTAGCATCTAATTAAGCAGTATGCTAGAGAAGTACAATGACTTTTGGGAATGCATAGGAGGATTTTGGTTTTTGAGTATTGTAATTATGCAAATAATTGGGAAATATTGCTAAAATTGCCAAAAAGAACTTCAACTTTAGCCTTAGATACAGAGTTTCCCTCGACACTGAAATTTTCTGAACTTGAAAATTGTTTTGATATAAAACATAAAGGGATTAAGATGCATAAAGACGAGTAGTAGCTACATAAAAAGACTAACATGAAGCGATAAGCACATTACTATAGTTTAGTAGAATCAGAAGGACAATCTATTCTGCCATGCACCAACAGCTTCATGCAAACTACATATACAGGAATGAGGATAAACATTAAGAAGTAATATTAACCTGTTAAGTCCATCCTTCTCTACCAAGTTCACCAGCAGACCCAATATAGCAACAAGGAAATCCAACTCTTGATCAGTCATAGGTCTATCATCCTGGTGGTCAAACTCAGAACTATCCCTGCAATGAGACAGAGATTTGCTGAATGAGGGGAAGTGGCTGGCAATCAACAAAGACATTGTCTCCAGACCTCCACATGAGGCAATTTGTTGGCAGCCAACAGGGTTGTCATTTGTTAAATTCATGAGAACCTGCACAGAAGATAATACCCCGCAAATTAATTAAACCAACAATGTAGAACAGAGATGCACTAATAGGACCTAAAAGAATTTAGTAATGCAAAATTTTATAAGTTGTAATTACCTTGACAGCTGTAAGAAGGCAATCAGCTAAAAGATCAGAATTCTCTTTATCATCGACAAGTGAACATGAGCTTTCTTGTGAAAAGAGATTTCCCCCATTACTTAATGGCTGGTGATTCAGCCCATTACCTGATCGAAGTTGGTGCTTTTCCCCATTTCTTGATTCTGGTTGGCTCATCATCATTTCATATTGACACTCATCTTCAAGATCTCTGCAAATTACCCCACTCTTTTTAGTTTGAGGTTTTTTATGTTTCCCGGATAGTAAGTCCCACTTTGAGGGCTCAAAATCATCAGCATCAAATGCAAAAGGATCTTCACTATCCTCAAAAGGTCCACACTTGTCATCTTTTCTACTATTAGGTCTCTCTGCAGGATCAAATTTTGTCCTTGGGCCATTACCACTTAAAGGTCCACTATCAGAACTCCGTGGTGTCCCACTACATGAGGTGGACAAGGAAGAACGGGATCTCATCTTCAGAATGCAACTGTCATTCATCAATGTAGTGGTGGTCTCAGAATTGGATTCAGAATGACCCAAACGATCAGTGGATAACCACCGACTGTTCTGAGATACACAAAAGCTCTTTTCAGAAGAAATCAACTCAGTACTAGAGAAGCTTTTAGAAGAACTGATGAATATAACCTCGTTGCTGTTCTCTGCAAATTCATGAGAACAACATAAGTTTGAAAAAAAGGCAAGGCACCCCAAATATTACAGTAATACAAGGATTATCAAGTACCTTTACAGTCAGTAATTAGAGCCAATTCTGATGTGTGACCAGTCCCATTCCCATCAGACAAATTATATGACTTATCATCAGCAGAGGTGGATGAACTTCTACGTAGATAAAGATCTAGAGATCAAAGGTATTAATAATTCCACGCAGACAGGATAAGTACGAAATTGTAAATACAAGTTATTTTTAAGTTATCAAAAGCAATCTCAAACAGGGCTGAACAAAGATGGTAAGTACTCTCTATGTAACAAAGGACAAACAAAAAAAGATTTCAGAACTATTCTCTTGCACCACTAGTTACCTGAAAGAGTCTTGATGACACTTATAACAATTTCCGTAAACGATTGTCGGGGCCCACTAGAAATTAAGTTCCCTTTCATTCCAAGCAAATGACTCTATATTAAAGAAAGATTTGAGATTAAACTTTTAGTAACTGTGGCACTTTTGAGTTCTGCAAATAAGTGATAGGCAGGGGGGGAGATTTGTACCTGATTATCTTTACTTAGGAAAGTAGCATTTTCCATGATCTTCAAACATTTTAAAAGAAACACAAGGCTCTGCAGGTCCAGATTATGCTTTGCAGTCTGAATAGAAGGTGAACTATGTAATATCCAACCCTGAAAAAATGAATATTTTGGCATTTAGAGAAATTTATTGATAATCTCCATTAAATAAGTTTCTAAACAGAAGTTATAAAGGAGATACACTATAGATCATTATGTCATGAATTGATAGTCAAGGGCAAAAACTTCCAGAAATCAGAAATTAAAAGCCTTCTAACTAAATAGCATTGTGGCTGTAGTTCTGGTGATAATTTCAAATACACACACACACACACATAGATATGGTATATGTTACGGTACTGTACTGATTTGAAATAGTAATCCGACTGACCCTTTGGTATTTATCTGGTTTTGGTTGTATTTACTGACTTATTGGATTCAATGTTAATATGCAGTATTCCTTTTACTTGTTTGGTCTGTGTAAGCTCATGGCATGATGATGTGATATATATATATGTTACTATTTCAAATCAGTACAGTACCATAACATATCCCAATTTCCCAATTTATCTACTGAAGAACACAGGTATACCAACAAGTATAAATCTGTCACTGCAAATAATTAATTGACAGAACTTTCCTGTTCACAACACAGGGAATCAAAAAACTTTCCCATGATTTGAAGCATTAACATCTCTTAATTTGTTTCATTCAAGACATTACACTTCAATCAAATATAATAAAAACAGATAATGAGATTAAACAAACATACTGGCTCACACCTCCATAACAGAATAACAATTCAAGATGACCTCAAAGACTGCATCAAGTCCTCCCAATTCTCTCAGCTTTTCTTTAAAGTTGCCCCCAGTCTTCCTCACTGCACCTGTGGCATCTGAAAAATGCAAAGGCCACAAAAATAAACAGATGAACAATTAGCAAAGACTAACACAGATAAAAAAGAAAAAGCATGTGAAAGGCATATAATTTAAATATATAGAGTTGGATACACAGTATATGCACAAATATAGGTATATTTTTGGTGATGATAATTCCTGTGAAAATAAAAGGCCTCAATATAATAATTTAACATGCACTCAATTCCTAGCATCCAAAAAGACTTTTGACCATCTATAACCAGCAGATAATTGATTAATGAGAAGGTTGGAACAATATTAATGGAAGCTTTGGATAAGTTGCAACATGCAAAGAATCAAGAAGGTGGCCCGCCTCAAATAACTTCTCAAAACAATACACAGAAAATATCCAGTAATTAAACTTACAAGCATGTTAAGCCAAACAAACCAATGGAATGTGCTAAAGAACTAATAAAGAATAAGACACAATGACACATCTAATACAAAAGACACGCAATTTAGGAGAATACAGGTCAAAGGAGAGAAAGGTAACAGTTCCAACAAATGAAATTCATGATTCAATTGCTATTCCACAAATGTTTAAGAAGAACACGTCAATCTATGAAAAAAAATTAAAAATTAAAACTAAAAATTATCAGCACCTTACATATAGCAGAAGGGATAATTTTCCACAATACCTTCAAAGGAGATCTTAGATAAGCAAGCCTTCTCTATTGTTAACAAAGCCACCCATTTCGCACTTAACTCTGGCCTCCCTATTCCATCATCATCTCCACAGCTTGACTTCATTTCCTTGCAACTGACAAGGATTTTTTGAACTTTGGAAAGAATGGCAGAAGAACTAGAATCTAAGGTTTTAGTCGCATCTTGTATGATGTCAGCATCCTTACGTAATGCCAAAAGCTTAGAACCTATTTTTCGCGCTTTGTCTTCAGCAGCAGTAGAAATGACTGGCTTCAACAATTTAATTAGAAAATGAATGCAGCTGTGTGACTCCAAGAGGTGATCATCTTGACCCTGATAAAGTAAAATTTAAACAGAATTTTTAAATCTGTTCTAACAGTAGCTAAAAATGTTTCCAGAAAATGCAGGTCAATCAAAATTTAAAGAAACTGAGGAACAGTTTTCGGTGGATGAAGAGAGACCAAGAGAACAACTCAGTTGGATCAATAAGCTTTTCAGCCCCAAAACTAAGAATCAATGTAATGCTTCTATCAATGAAATTATACTCCATTACCAGTTAGAAATCTCAGTACATGTATAGGGGTAATCACGCAACAAAAAAGAAAAAAAAGGCTCTATACATGACTTTGAGCTGTTCAAATAATTTAATATATGTTACAATAAGTTATTGGGTTATGTGAAAGGCTTGGTTATATCTTAAAACATCACTGGAAATTATACATATTTACATCATTGTCTTCAGCTTTGTTATGGACAGTTCAAATTATACAGAACATCAATCAGTAAGCAAAAAGAATTACAGCTTACATCACTAGTCAAAACGTAAAGAAGTGTGGCAGCAGCTAAATTGCTGAGTGAGTCATCAGAGCTGAGACCCAAAATAGCCTCAATTATTGTCCTTGCCAACCTGGACACAAGTGTCAGATGTTAATTAAAGCATCAGTAGGCATAGCACAATAATTTTAATTTCTTCAAGACAGGAAGCCAACCTTATGCAAATAATTCATAGAATATAGTTGATATAGTGAATGGCCAAAATAAAACTACTCATTTGGATGGCCATCCATCAATGGAACAACCCTTCATACAACCCTTTTCTTTAAAGAACCGTTTCAGATAAGAGAACTTAGAATCCCAAATCATCGGGATCAATGTCATAAAATTATGATTAAATGAAAAATAAAATAACAAAAGGTAAGTGAACCGGAAGACATTACAAGTGTTATACATCCTGTAATAAATAACCACATATGTTTAGCATGTTCAATTGTATATGGCACTCCATTGATACCTCAAACAATATTCTGTCAAAGCACTTCCAAGACAAGGTCATAGCTCAAATGAAAAAAGGTTATTGAGACATCATTGATCCCAAATGTTTAGGCTGATAAAAAAGGCCTAGCAAAAGTATCAATACTCTAACATACTTCCCCTCACATGCATGGCAGAATCTAATAAACAGTTCTTATTTAGTGGATCCAAACATACACAGATATATATGAAGACCCTAGCACACTAACACAAACTCATAGTTAATTGAAGAGTAATACAATACATACAAATAATGTAGACAAACTCTAGTGTACAAATTAATGTGGAATTATTCTTTTATTGTCAGATCATTCATCCTCATTTATTGACAGTTTATGAAATTGAACTTTTATATACACTCTACAATACATTATGTGTTATGTCAGTTTTACAAAAAGTTAGTATACAAAGATTGTATGTTTACTGATATTCTTAATAAAATGGAGAATTCGAACACCAAACATCAAGATCAACCCCAACTGTAATATTATGTTCAGACACAGTTGGTTTGAAGGGCTTGGGTTGACAGGAATTGTCCCAACGGTAGCAATTGAACTCCAACAAAGGTGTGATTATGCTTCAGAAGTAGCTCAGCTCCCACACATGCATTTCTTCACGAAAACCAATTGAACATACTTCAAATTTGCCAAATTCATCCTCATATTTTTATAACACCTAATCTATTAAGAAAGCTTGACATGAAAATGTTTATCTTGCATTTGGAAGCCCTAGCTCAAGAGAGCCTGAGATGAAATTGAAAGCTTTAACAACCCATGTGGTTTTTTCAAGACAAGAAAACTAGCTAGGGAACAAAGATTGAACATTTTCCCTCCATTAAAAAATAGTAACAGTTGCAGGTATTCTTAAGAACATCTAGAAGATAGTTGCAGGTATTCTTAAGAACATCTAGAAGATATTAACATAAAAATTAAAATGAGCCCTGATGACATTGCTGATACTGTTAGATGTACAAAATAGAAGTTAACTTCAACTTTTATTAGAAACCAAGTTTAATGCTCAACCCCGAAAAACCATCAAAAGATATGAAAACCAAGTTGATTTTGATAACATCAAGTCACAAACTACCAATAAGTAACTTCTACACCTAAGTAGAAATTTGCAGTCTCAGTGCAAGATCAAATTCAAAAATGACACAACAGTTGCACAAATTTTTGAATCATCAACACATTTCCATATGTAAATTGCTACTTCCCCAAAGACCACATGTAATTTCAAAAATTTATGCACCATTTCAACAAATTATCCACAAAACAGAACTCACGTACCTAAGCCGCCAAAGAACCTTCTCAGTTCATAAATCCATCCGTAAATTTCAAAAACTTCCACTGAGTAATAAACTACACACCAAAATCTTCTCCAAACTAACATGACCCACATCCCAAAGTTCAAAAATTTCACAGATTTTCCCAAAAAAGAACTCCAATGTCAAGCATTAAACTAAACCCCATTTCATAGAAACCCTAAAAAAATAATCTACCATAAAACTCAAATACCCAGCATTAAATTTCAAAATATCCCAAAATAAAACCCACAATCGATCAAAATCCACCCAAAATTCGCATGCCGAATAAAAAAATCAAATTTTCAACACGTCTACAGAAATCACGCCAAAATTTTTTTTGCAAGATTCACCTCCAAGAACCAAACTTTCAATGAACTTTAAAAAGAACAAGAGAAACCCATCAGAATTCTTGAAATTTAACATACCCCTGAGTTCTTAGAAGCCTCCTTTGTTGGACGGTGCCACAAATCGACAACAAAGACAACAAACTAGCCCTCCTGATTCTCACCTGAGACCCTTTCTTTAACCCATCAATAGCGAAGTTCACTTCATCAACGTGCTCCATCATCTCTCCAAACTCCTGCGCCTCCATCAGCGTCGAAGTTGCCGGAATCAACGGCCCAGAGCTCCCCTTCCTCTGCTTCTTTGACCTCCTACCGACAACGCCCTCGTCAGAATTGGTAAAAAGAGGTCTAGTCGAAGGCAAAATTTGAACGGAATTATTGTTGTAGTCGGGTTCTTGGGAAGACCAAAGCGGAGACGAATCTTGAGAGGACGAGAATGGTAAACTATACAAATCTTGAGGGGTATCTTGGGAAAGAGAAAAAGAGTCTCTAAATGAATCGTCCAAAACGACGTCGTCGTCGGTGTCTATCGTGTCCGAATACGTTCTCGTGATCCCCCTATTCCGGCGCCCGTATGTCCTAACAATCATTTTCAAATCTTGGAAGCGGCGGCGGTGGCGGCGTCGTTTTGGCCTATCTTGAAAAAGATTTTGAATTCGGCATTTAAACGGAAATGCGAGGGTAGTTTGGGGAATAAAAAGGAAAAATCTGAGACTTAGAATTGCGATTAGGGAGCTGAAGAAGAGTGAAAAGAAGGTGAAAGAAGGAGCTGAGGCTTCTGTTGGTGTTGGTTGGTTAAAGCGTCGAGCTGATTTTGAAAAAATATTTTTATTTTTATTTTTTTTCTTATTTTTTCCTCTTTTGGTTTTCGCTTTGGCTGCTGGGTTAACTTTTATGATGAGATTAATGTGAGGTGAGGGGTAGTATAGTCATTGCTTAATGCGTAGGACAAATGCTAGAATGACTGGGCTGTGTTACAGTTATTTAAATATTAAAAATATTGGGTCCGTTTGTGTTTTGATGATTCAGAAAATGAAAATACATGTGATATAATTGGCAAACAATAATATTTTAAAAATATTATTTTCTATTTTAATTTTTTATAAAAATGATTACTTGAAATCTATTTCATAAATATGGATGTTGTGAAAATTTAAGAAATAATTTATTGTGATTCAAAATATGAGAACCGTTATTCATCTAATTGTTCAATCACCCAAGACAAGACATATCCCTTTGAGCTTGAATTGCGGGTGCGTTTGGTTCTTATTTGTAGGATTTTGGTGATAGAATTGGATAGTTGATAAGGTTTGATTACGAGAATATATTTATAGAATAGTGTTTGGTTGAGTATTTTGACCTTGATATTGTGTTGAATATTTGATTAATATATTTTTTATAAATGATTTATTAATATAATATTTTGTTGAATTTTGTTGAAATAATGTATTATTATATTATAACTTATCAAGTTATATTTTAATAATACTAAATATTTTATTGGTATTTTGTCACCCGTAGATATTAAAAAACAAAAACCCATATTAATTTCAAGTACTAATCCAACTGTTTAAAAACACACATTAATACATATATGACAAAAGTACTAACTATCAACCCTTACAATCATTATACACGTATACTCCATTAACAACTACGACCATGGTCCATTGTGTTGTCCACAGTGCATTCGTTTATTATCCCTACAGTCGTCATGTTGTCTATAATACCTTGTTGGGTTGACTCGGTCCTTCTCCATTTCGCCCTATTCTGCCCCGTTTTGACGACCACAATATACTTGCTCATTACCCGTACTATTTGTTTCTTCGAAGATACGGTCGTCCATATTGTACATTCTGATAAAATTATGAAGTACACAACATGCCATAACAATCTTCCCTTGTTTGTCCAACGGTAATTGTTCATCCTTTAGAATACGGAACCGTTTTTTCAAAACACCAAAGGTTCTCTCGATAACATTGCGGAGTGAAGCATGTCTGTAGTTAAACAACTCTTGTGCCCCCTTCGTTACGGCGATAATTAAAATATGGTAAGCCACTCGCCTATGAGCGGCGGAACCCATCTCTATTTGGATACCCGCATCAACCAATAGTATTTCCCGTAATAATATCAAGATTTTATTTGAATTACAAGGTCTCAACAGTGGAGGTAATACGCTAGAATACGTCAAGAAATACTTATACGGTGGAGGATGTGGGAATCCAGAATTAGGATCATCAATAATTGAATTTAAAACTCTTGAATCATGCGCAGATCATTCCCATCCAGTAATGACATAAGTGAACATCATCTTAAGTCCATACCCCATTACATTCTATGACATCGATCCTTTGCGATTCCGGTACCTAACGGCAATTCACGTGGAACTGAAGCATATACTGTGTCCATCCATGCTCCAATACAGTCCTATAATGAAAATTGAATTTTACTCATATTAACCTACTATAAAATTAATAACACAATGAACTTAACTATCTACTTATAGCAAACATAATGAACCAATACCTTAAAAAAGGGTAATATTTTCTGTTGGCCGATATTTCCCATGGAACATCATTGAAGTCAGGTGGTCTGATTAACTTGTCTTCAAATACATATAGCATTGCAACTGCGGTAACATGTCTAAGATCATCTCACCCGAATGTTGAAATCCTCCATCATTGTTCTGATTGTCTCGTTTTTTCCAACAATTGTTAAATATCATAACTTGTTCTTCCACACTCTTGTCCTGGTTGGTTGCAATTTGCCTTGATCAGACAAAATTTCACATAACAATGTAAAACAGTCTTCTCCATGCGGCACTTGTCATAGATCCTGTCAGATGACCGTTGAGTACTTCCAACATGTACTGATGACCAGTTAATACGGATGTATGTCGTCGTGGATGCCCACTTGCTTCTAATGCGGCAGCAGCGCAAAGTGCAATGGCTACATCTATCATTATTTCTTCTTCGTCCCTCTCATCTGTAGCACGTCATCTTCTTCCTGTACGGCTAGACGACACCATTTATACCTACACATTTGCAAAACATTTATCAACAATTAACAGTTGTTGTACTACTTAGCAAATATAATAGTTAATTTTTAATTGTAATGACAATCGAAAACGGTGTTTACACATATAATATCCATAATATGTTCATACAGTAGCGTTATAAATTGTAATGTAATGCACAACTGCCCACTAACATATACAAATTGTTGCCAACACTTATAAATATAGTGTTAATCTACTTCTTAGGAAAGTTGTTATAAATCCAGTTAGCCTTTTCCTCCAGTGGGAGTTTTACAAATATCTCCCGCCACCCTGGATTTTCATATAAGTACGTGACAACCGCAGGTAAAATGTGTCGGTACTTGCATGGCTGTCATGATGTCAATACAATTGCTCATGGAAAAAATCAGATGAAGCACTGGTGTTCTCTTCTTCCCTCTCATCTGCACTGCGATTGGTAGCCCTCGATCCCATAGTCCGCTTCTCCGCAAGCTCGTCCCTCAAGCTGAAAATGGCATCCGCAATTGATTGTCTCGAGTTGCGTCTGTGCCTCTTATTTCTAGCTCTTCCATGGCCAGATGTGTTTGACCGTTTTTCCCCTATCGTTGATCAGATCAGGTTCAAACTCACTATCATCCATGGGAACCGCCCGGGATTGGAATTACTGGAGGTCTCCACCGGTTGGGATGTAGATTGTATGCATATCTTCCAGTGGCAGTTTGCTTCTGAATTTATTTCATAAAGCTCTTTGTGAGGAAGTCCCCTGTGGTAAATTGTTGCCTATTGGGTTTTGCTGGTAAGTTAAAAGAATAATATATTAATATTACAATCCAAAAAAAATGTGCACATTTACGTGTCGTTGAATAATATTAGTTAAAAATATAAAAATATACCTTGACATATTCTTGCCACACCTCAACGGACACGTTGACTTTGTGACTCGTGATCCCACCCAAACCCCGTGTGTTGCAGCAATTTCGCCCTGCTTGATACACTTTTCGCAGCCGAAAGAACTTAGAGGTTAATTGTGTGACATTGAGTCTCTGCCAGCCAGTATGATATGTCGCCCAACATTTCTTGGTAATCAGCTGTTTTTATTGCATACCGTGCGAAGTTTTGGCTCGCTCAGATAACAGGACCAGAAATCGGTGGGTCATTTCAGCGGACCAGGCCACAGAATCACTCATCTAAGGACGGTACGATCAGGGACAACCAACTTGGGACACCATACGAATCACCAATCACATTGCAAAATATAATACTCACATGTAATGTAATCAACTAAACACATATAAACTTATACCTCGTTCGACCCGACACTGCTTGAAAACGTCAATGCAGGGGAAGATAAAGATAATGAGCCAACAGGGTGTATGACAAACTCCGAGTCTGGAAAACATCAAAACTTTCGCCTCTGCTGGAAGTAGTAATTAATCCTACGCCATCGAGACAAATTATACTGACATCTGTGCATATGAGCGTAATTTCTGTTACGATAAATCACGATGTCGAATCTATAGAACAAATATATCAATTAGTGAAATCCGAATTAAATATTAAAACCTGCCAAACAAATAAAAATTTCATCAAGCTTAGGAAAATTCAGCTTTATTAACTGTAGAATAGAATAAAAACAAAAAAAAAGCTTTGCAAAATACTACTACCAAAGCTTTTAGAACCTACTAGTTCGGTTTCGTTGGTACCCTATATTGTTTACAACTCCTTTGTACAACCACACTTTCTTCGATTGATTCTTCTTCTTCGAATCAAAACCTGAATCAACAAATCTTCAGAATCAATCATTGATTTTCAAAACTAAACCCCCAATCTCAAATCCAAACCCATTAACATTGAACCACATTCACCATTTAATGATTATTTAGTTTCCATCATCTGCCAACAACATTAGTCGATTAAAGTAACCAAAAAAAAAAAAATTCAAAGATTTTGTAAAATATATAGCCATTATCAAGTAAACATTGCGACAGAAGGACTAAATTTTAAAACCCCCAATTTGAACCCTAATATTCAAATTTATTCACACCACAACGACCAAAACTACACCGATCCGCCACCAGCACCGTCATACCACATCATTATCACTCTATTATCACAACATCCACGACCATTAAGTTCAATACCACCAATTACAACATTTCTACACACGAAGTCAAAGAAATAGAAATAAAAAACTGGAAAATACTTTCGCCGAAGAAATTAATCAACGAACTTTGTATAAAATAGCCGAATGAGAAGGACAACTGGCATAGAATTGAGAGAAAATCAGCTTCACAGCTTGCGATTTGCGAACGTGAGAAGAGAAGTGACAGATCTGGGTTCACGGTGGTTGGGGAGCTGAGTGGGTTCACGGTGGGAGCTAGGTGGTTGACGGTGGCTGGGGAGCTGAGGTGGGTTCACGGCTGTGAAGATGCAGTAGTTGAGGTGGGTTGACGGCTGGGGAGCTGCAATAGCTAAGGTGGGTTCACGGTTGTGAAGATGCATATCTGAGGTGGTTCACGGCTGGGGAGCTGCAGTAGCTGAGGTGGTTCACGACTGTTGCGATGCAATAGGTGAGGTGGGTTCACGTGTGAGATGCAGTGAAGAAAATGGTGAAGAATGCAGTGAAGAAAATGGTCCACACCTCGAGTCAGATGCAGTGTAAAAATGGTGAAGCATTGACGAAAAGTGAAAGATGCAGTGAAGAAAATGGTTTAATTTTCTCAGTCAGATGCAGCGCAAAAAATGGTGAAGTAGTCACGAAAAGTGAAGAAAAGGTGAAGAAAATGGTTTATGCAGTGCAAAATGGTTCACGCAGTGCAGAAAATGAATAAAA